TGAGCTGTTTCCCTGGCCCTGCCACAGTTTTCTAGAGAAAGATCGTCAGACTGTTGTGGCAGGAGGGAAGAACAACTTTGGGTAAGTGGGTGCCTACCGCTGGGGCTGCTCGGCCCTGCTGCTCTTGGTGATGGGGTCTTGGGGGACCAAACCCAAGTTTTGTCCACATTGAGCAAGTGGCCTTAGTGGGGGCGCTGGGTTAAGCCCCCAGCCCCAGCAACACGTGTGCGTGGCTGCGCTCTGATAAAACTTCGATGAAGAACACAGACATCGGAGTATCCTATAATTTTCATGTAGTCACAAAACAGTACAGTGCTCAACAGGAGAAGCCATGCTCAGTTTGCAGGCTGCGTGAGCAGCAGCAGACCACTGTCTGTCAACATCCACTGCAGAACACTTGCTTTGCTTTTTGTAAAGTAAACACTTCTGTGATGTAGCTAATTTACTGGCTGTAAGGGCTTTTAGAGACAGGCTTTCGCTGTGTAGTTCAGGCTGTCCCTCAGCTCACAGCAGTCTCTGGCCTCAGCCTCCAGAGCGCTGGAATATCAGGCATGCACTACAGCTATGGTTTTGGTCAGAATGTCCCCTGAAGGCTTCCTGCAGCCTGGGGCGGCTTCTAGAGTCTATGACTGGCTCATGGTCCAGTGCTGGGATGATGGGTGTGAGTGCTGCACCCGTCTTGGTCTTGGGCAGCTCGAGTCCCGGGCAGCTAGCCGCGTACAATATAAGAGCGAGAAAGGAGCTTGCATTCAAGTCACCCCCGCCCCTTTTTTTGGTACTGGGAATCAAACTTAGGACCCTGCACTTGCCATGTAGGCACTTAGGCCACTAAGCTATATCCCTGGCCTGCTGCTTCTTTCATCGTCTTCTGCTACAATAAACTGCTGCCCGCTGCCATGTGTCGCTCTGCCTTGGAGCCAGCCGAATACGAACTGAAACCTCCACAAACTGTGAGCTAAATAAACCTTTCCTTTTTAATTTTTTTTTTTTTGTGTGCTTTAAACAATTTATTTAACTGAAATTGACTTGTTTGCTTCTGAAGTGACTTCCATTTATTTTGATATATCTTTTCCCCTTGATGTTTTACAAGATCTTCAAGCCAATATAAATATTTGAATTTTTTGGTATACACCTGTACAATACCTCAGCAATATCTTTCATCAAGAAAATACTGAAGAGTAAAGGCTAGACACAATTACTAGTTACAGTGAAAATCTGCTGCAAATATTTCTAAGGTAAGAAGGCACCACATACCTGTTCAATTAAGGAAACCACTCTTTTATTTTTACATAGGACCTAGAACACTTACGCTGCCAATTGGGTGCTGAATGGCAGAGTAAAGTCCCCAGCTTATGCCATAAATTCATAGAGAACAGGTTCCAACAGCTTGGTTCCTTTCCTTTGGTCCTCACCAAGTGCGCTTCTCTGGGAGGGGCAGGCTGGTGCTTCAGCTGAACCCAGGTCCCTTTCTCTTTGGCTTCCTTCTTTTTCTGATCATTTTCCTTGACATGTTTCAGGAAGCTATCATGACTTTTTAAGTGTTTAATATGCTTGATACGCACATTAATCCCCTTGGCAAGTTATCTTGACCTTAACTTGCTTGTTTACAAGGCCAACAAACAGCCTGCTGGGTAACGTTGCAGACTCTTCCCGTTTTGCCATGGTAGCATTTGTGAGGCGTTCCTTTTTGCACAGTACCCGTTCCCTTGATGTCTACAATATCACCCTTTTTGTAGTACGTGGCCAAAGGAACAACCCCATGTTTTTTCTTTTCTTTT